GGTAATGAAGAGGTGCTGTTATGATGTATATGCGAGTACATTTTCATGACTCATATTGCAGGCTTTCTTCATTTTTATGCAGTTTCCATTAGGCATGAAGCCTACAAATTCCACATTTTCTCCACAGGAAATTCAGTCTGACACCGGGTTTAGATTGTAATCAGGCTGTAAATCAGCTGCCCCTCTCCCTGTGATTCTGTGTAACATGACCACTAAACACCAGCTCTGTCTTTACACACACAATACACAATCCAGGGAGGGGGGGTTGCCACTATGAATACTAATGAATAGGAGGTGGAGAACCCACTTGTAATATACACACATATTGCATTGAAAGCACAGAGGTAGCCATTTCCATGAGAATATGAAGAGGAGTACTAACAAAAAAAATTTAAGTTTATGTGTTCATATATAGCAACTGCATATGCCTGCTTCATGTATACTTGGTGCACATTGCTAGCATATGGTTTTTAAAAATACCTCTGCAAAGATGTCAATGGGCTTTAAGGATATAGAGATCGGTATGCATGCCCTTGGGAGTTTGAGCTTTGCAGGAAAAAAAAAAAATCATAAAGCAAAGGAGATGTGTGAACCCATCCTACTGACCAACACACACTGCTCCCCCAAGAGAAGGCTAAAACCAAGGCAATCTGCTCAATCACAGACATGCTCAGTAGTGATAAGGCTGGGCTTGGTGAAAACCCAGTTCATCTGAGTTAGGCCAAGGCTGCTAAAAACTGAAAGCCACCCTCTCCTCTTGGCCCAATCATTTGCAGGGAGGCACATTCTCCTCCCTGCAGCTATAAGTCACAAATGCTGTCACTGATTCGGCCAGGAGGGGGGTGACATGCACAGTTTTGAGCAGGCTTGTGTGAGCTCATGCCAACTGGGTTCACACCAGGCCCACCCTCATCTCTAATTCTCGCCCCAACAGGACATAAGAGTTTTGAATCATTGTGTTGTAATAAGATTTTCTAACCACCATCTCACATCTATAGACTTAGTAGGACAGAAATATAGAGCGAGCCACCTTTGCCAACCCAGGAGCAGTTGGTCAGCACTCAGAACTGTCGGTCGAACGGTGAGTGCAGCCAATAGATGCAGTTACTGTTTGGGTATTCAGCAGCCACGGATGCTGCTGGCCAATTAATACAATTGCTGCCAAGGGAGATTCCTTCATCCACACTGTTTAGCATGGAAGGGGGAAAAGGTTGATTTCCTCTCGCTCAGTCCGTAGGGTTGAGATGGAGAAATCTTAAGAGTTTATCTAGAAAATATGTTGTCCCCACACCATTCTGCTTCAGCAAATCATCTTTATTCGTATTCCTTCAGCATGACCTACGGATGCAACTTTCCAGAGCCTCACAGGGCCCCTTCATCAGGCAAAGTGTCCGGTGAAGCTCCGAAACGCTGCATCCATGTGTCATGCTGAAGGAATACGAATAAAGATGATATTTTAAAGCAGAATGGTGTGCAGACAACATATCTTCTAGATTGCATACTGTGGTGTCATGCGCCAGTTGTTCCAGCACCCGTTGGATTCTGGGGTACATCGGTACGGTGTATTACTAATATCTAAGGGTGTATGGCCAGCTTTAGTCTCTGGCCAAAAACAACTATTAACACAGGTTAGTGACTGAGTAGTGATGCAAGTGCTGAAACTGACAGGGCTTTACAGGTAAAAGCAAAGGCAGGAGAAGTGTTACAATCTAGGGCAGTGATGGCTAATGTTTTTGAACCAGAGTGCCCACACTGCAACGCAAAATCAATTTATCTCAAAGTGCCAACACTGAAAATAAGTTTGGTATAGCGCTGCAGTTTGGGCACTGGGGTTTAAAAAACGTTCAGCATCACTGCCTTACGCATGATAGGGAAACACACATATTCAAATATTTACACACACATACGAGACTCCTGGCGGCAACTAGCACCTGGCCACGCGTGCCTCCAGAGGGGCCTCTGCATGCCCTCTGTGGCACGCGTGCCATAGGTTTGCCATCACTGATCTAGGGCAACAAAAGCTGAACTGGAAAGTGAGCTGTATTGAAGAATTTTTCCAGCTCAGCTACTTTGGCCTAGATTGTTCACTTCTCCTGCCTTCTCCAAACCATTAACCCTTTAGTGAGTCGACCTGTAAATTTTTATTTTGCAAGTTTTATTTCATAGTCACACATTATAAAGAAAATAAAAACATCAGACATAGACCATGTCTTTTGAAACTCTATACCCACCCTTCCACAAACAATAGGATTACACCAAAATAGCCTTAAAATATCCCATTAGCATTTATTTGTACTCATCCTAAAATCCATTTAAGTGTAATGTGAGATGATTCGCTAGATCGAAGGAGAAGGGATGTCACTGCTGCATGCCTGGGATAATCTTCTACAGCAGACGCATGCCTGAATTTATGCGAACACTGATTTTTAATGCTGTTTATTTTTTCACAGGCAGAAGATCAACTGAATACCGTTATGCTGGGATCAGAAATAAGCATGAGCTCATGCTGACAGACGAGGGATAACTTGACAATGTGAGCATATGCCTTGCATTTCAAGAGAGGAAGAAAGATTATTAGTCTGCCCATCATTAGGAAGCAAAGTAAGTGCTGCACCTGCTATGGGAGCCAAATGACAGATCGTACAAAGGCCTTAACTGCCGTGAAAATGCATGTGCAGTGATCTTTGGACAAAGAATCTCTCGGCTAAACCATCCCTGTGACCTGCACTCACAGAATGAAACGGGATAGGGTGTGGAGAGGCAAATGTCAGACATATGTCATTACTAACAATGCATTCAGCTAACGAAGAATATCAGACTATGCCTGCTTTATACATTCTTTCATAGCAATCAACACAATCACCGAAAAAGAAGAAACAAGGCAATCCAGCATTATGCCTTTAGTCATTTTTTTTAATCAACATTAAAAAGTAAACATGCTGAAGAAAGACCATTCATCCACAACCAGACTTCAAGTACAATAAGCCCATTCATGCCTAACCAATGCCATACACACATTACCATTAGATTCCTGATAATGCACAGAAGATAAAATACATCCAAATTGAAGATAAGAGATAAAATGACAGCGACACAGGCGAAAAAAACTAAACTAGGAGTCCCCCATCTGTGTCCTTATTACTGGTGCATGGTCACTAGTGTCCAAGGAGCATTATGTTACCAGCCTCAGGGCAGAGATACAAAAGAAGAAAGGAGCGATCTCTAGAAGAAAATGCTCATCTCACCAAACATGCTCAGCGGGGCATTCATACATGCAACCTACGTATGCAGAATACAGTGCAGGCCGTACTAAATGGATGATCGCACACTTGTGAACCTGAGAACGCTGTGCGGGCCCTGGGATACTGAAGAGAACACATCTGTCAGAACGCATATAGGAGGATAATTCATTTCATGACCTGAGACAAACTGCAAGCCATAATAATAGTAGAAAATACAATTCAGAACCAACACAGAGAGGACTGTATACGTCCCACCATGGCTTGTATGAGCACAGTATGTATGTGTATATAGACATACAATGTAAGACCCGAGTCATCAATATAGAGAGGACAGTACACGTCCCACCATGGCTTGTATGAGCACAGTATGTATGTGTCTATAGGACATACAATGTAGGACCCGAGTCATCAATATAGAGAGCACTGTACACGTCCCACCATGGCTTGTATGAGCACAGTATATATATGTGTCTATAGACATACAATGTAAGACCCGAGTCATCAATATAGAGAGGACTGTACACGTCCCACCATGGCTTGTATGAGCACAGTATGTATGCGTCTATAGACATACAATGTAGGACCTGAGTCATCAATATAGAGAGGACTGTACACGTCCCACCATGGCTTGTATGAGCACAGTATGTATGTGTATATAGACATACAATGTAAGACCTGAGTCATCAATATAGAGAGGACAGTACACTTCCCACCATGGCTTGTATGAGCACAGTATGTATGTGTATATAGACATACAATGTAGGACCTGAGTCATCAATATAGAGAGGACTGTACACGTCCTACCATGGCTTGTATGAGCACAGTATGTATGTGTCTATAGACATACAATGTAGGACCTGAGTCATCAATATAGAGAGGACTGTACACGTCCCACCATGGGTTGTATGAGCACAGTGTGTATGTGTATATAGACATACAATGTAAGACCTGAGTCATCAATATAGAGAGGACTGTACACGTCCCACCATGGCTTGTAGGAGCACAGTATGTATGTGTATATAGACATACAATGTAAGACCCGAGTCATCAATATAGAGAGGACTGTACACGTCCCACCATGGCTTGTATGAGCACAGTATGTATGTGTCTATAGGACATACAATGTAGGACCCGAGTCATCAATATAGAGAGGACTGTACACGTCCCACCATGGGTTGTATGAGCACAGTATGTATGTGTAGATAGACATACAATGTAGGACCTGAGTCATCAATATAGAGAGGACTGTACACGTCCCACCATGGCTTGTATGAGCACAGTATGTATGTGTAAATAGACATACAATGTAGGACCTGAGTCATCAATATAGAGAGGACAGTACACGTCCCACCATGGCTTGTATGAGCACAGTATGCATGTGTAAATAGACATACAATGTAGGACCTGAGTCATCAATATAGAGAGGACAGTACACGTCCTACCATGGGTTGTATGAGCACAGTATGCATATGTAGATAGACAATGTAGGACCGGAACCATTTACATAGAGAGGACTGTACATGGGTCGTATGAGTATGCATATCTTTGTAATATATAAATATACTGTAATTGAACAACACAGGGCAGGATGTGTACACTCCTCTATATATTGATGGCTCAGGTCCATATATATACCCATACATAGTGTGCACATAGTAAGGTGTGCTCTGTGTATACGTCTATATAGTCTGCCAGTAACCCTTGCAGCGCACCGTGCCCAGGTGCTCACGTGACCCCCTCCCCCGGTGGCCTTCTTACCTCCAGGTCGGTGTCGCCGGCCTCGGTCACTCCTATCTCGCTGGGTAGCTCGGCCAGGTCGGTGACTCGAATGAGTCCATCGTGCAGAAAGATGGTCTCTTCCTTCACCGACAGCCATTGAGCGGAATCTCCGGCCGTAACCGAGCCCATGTCTTGTTCCTTGCTGTCAGTCAGCCCCCGGGCCGCTCCCTCATCCCCCGCTCCTCACCCGGTGACCCGCACAAGCATCTCACACGCCGAGATAAGGGTGGGGCGCTCAGGCCTGCCAGCCTCTGATCTCTCTGCCCCCCGAGTACAAGGCATGAAACCCCCTAGCTGCCGGGCACAGAGGGGGCACACTCCCACAATACCCCAGCGATTGGGATCTGGGCACCAGCACTGAACTGTCAGCGAGACGCCATATTGGCTGGAGCAGCGATCCCGGCGTGCCTTGCGCTGCCTGTGTACCTCCTGCCTGGGAGAGATGTGCCCCGGAGGGGGGGAGGCATTACATTGGCCATACACTTTTCCGATAGCTGTCGTTCGAGCTTTCGTTGAGATGAGATCAGACAGTATTTAGTTGATCAACACAATTGGATGAAATAAAGATTCCTCCACACACTGTGAAGAAAGATTGGATAGGCACAGCACACATTACAATTCAGGTTGCAGAAAGGGTAATCGTCTATGGATATTTTAAACTGTCCCCACCTATCAATCACATTCCATGTTTCGTTGTTTTTTTCCCAATAAACTTGAGCATTGAAAATGATCAGATTGATGCAAGCAAATTTACCATTTGTGTTGCACTAAGCAAGCATTTCTGACATCTCTTTAGTTCAAATGGTTGTATGATTGCATGAAAAATTGAGACATGTATGGCCGTCATTACATTTACCAATATGGGTAGTGTAAGAGCCAACCTGATTGGATGAAACTGAACAGGATTTTTCATTTACCATAAAATCAGCTTCTTGGAGTTCACTTGTTCACACCACGCCTGTTGAGCCGGGTTTTTCTGCGCACCTCCACACATGTATGGTATGACCCGGACACAGAAAACAATTGTATTCTATATGCTCCGTTCATACACAACTAGACCTAAGGGACACAGGACAGATGAACTCTTAGATAACTGGGTAATGCTGTTGCATACAGGAGATTGGACAGTGGTTATAAAAAAGCTGTCAGCTAGTATAACCCCTCCCACCCCCATCATGCCCAGTCTTGCCAAAGACCAATAGTAGGAGTGGATCATAAGACAAAGGGGTGGAGTCTGTGTCCCCCAGTGAACTCCAGGAAACAAGCTTCATGGTAAGTCGAAAATCCTGTTTTCTTCACCGGTCATTAAAGTAGAACTGAAGCCAAAACTTTGTAAGATGGGCTTATGACTCCTGTCAGGGTGGTTTTTTTTTGCCATATGTGTCCTATGAGGAGATTAACCAATGCTTCCTGTTTGATAGTCACAACAGGAAGTGAAAGAAAATCCCTGCAAAGGTAGGGAAATCCCTAGTCATCAGCAGGGCCAGCAGAACTAGTGTCCCCATTGGAAGATTTCTCATCCAATCCTGTTCTGGTGGTAACCCAAAATTTGGGATTTTCTTTCACTTTCTGTGATACCAGTCACAAGGACAAATAGGGAGGGTGAATCTCCTTAATGGGGACACATACAGAAATACAAATCTGACAGGTGTTCTAATCCCATCTACTCTATCCAAATTTTTTTAAAAATGGTTTTGCTTGAGGGATAGAGGTAAGATGAAATCTACGAGAACAGGGACATCCAAAATCGAGGGATGGGCAACACAGCAAACAAAATGCTAGGCAGACAAACAACAACAGTGGGGCCAATGAGCTCGCAGAGTCATCTGAAGAACCTTTTGTGTGACACTCGCATAAGATGAGGCAGGATCATCCACCTGGTAGAATTTGAAGAACGTGTGAAATGAAGACCACATGGCAGCCGTGCGAATTTGCGAAACAGATGCCTGATGCCCAGATGCACTCCCACTAAAGAGGGTGGAACCCTGACCCTAAGATCATAGGTTTGGGTAATGAGCTGACTAATCCACCTAGAGATGGTGGAACAAGAAGCATGTCACCCCTTATGTGGACCCTCAAGGATGACAAAAATCTAGTCTGTCAATCTGATTAAAGTCGTAGACAAGAGATACACCCAAGCAGCACACACTACATCCGGACAAGGGATGAGTCAGAACAGGACAGAGAGATGGGAGAACAATGTCCTGGTGAAGGTGAAAGGACCTAACCGCTAAGGATGGGCTCGGGCGTGTTCGCAGCTCCACGTGCCGAGCCCTCCAGGAAGCTGACAGCGCGCAGCGCCAATCACAGGCACCGAGACATTTCCCGATCTCTGCAGCTGCAGACCGGGAAAATGTCTCAGTACCTGTGATTGGCGCTGCGCGCTGTCGGCTTCCTGGCAGGCTCGGCATGTGAAGCTGCGAACACGCCCAAGCCCATCCTTAGTGACCGCCATGGGGAGAACAGAGACCTTAAAGAAGAACTCCAGGAATTTTTTTTATTAACCTTTGCAGTGGGGCTACCCATGCACTGCAAGGGTTAAAGGAGAACTATGAGGTGAGTGCTTTTCACTCACCTCATAGTTCTAGCCGACCTGTGACAATGAAACTGTCACAGGTCGGCTCAGTAGATCGGGGGGTGAGCGAACACATACCGGCGTTCGCTCACACAGTATACCGCGAGCTACATCTCGCGGTATACTGAGCCTAGGGCGTCGGGAGGACGTTAGTTTGTGTCCTCCCGTTACCCTAAGGAGAACTATGGGGAAAAGCCTTAACCCCATAGTTCTCCTTTAAGTTAGACTTACCCGAAGCTCTGAGCCGGCTTCTTCTTAGACTGGTCCTTCCAACGTCTCTCCCCCTCCTCTGCAGCGGTCTAAGGTCCTGTAAATCATCAAGGCTGCCCACTCAGAATAATGCTTCACAGATGCCAATGAGAATTTACACCTTGTGAGAGTGAGGGTAGACATGGGAATATCTCTGATAGGTTCAAAGGGTGGCTTCTGAAGAACCAATAGCACCAGGTTGAGATTCCACAAGGTCACAGGCTGACGCATAGGAGGAACTTTGTAAGCGACATCTTGGTTTCACTAAGGCAAGTGGTTTTCGGAAGTGAACTGCTAGGGCCGAGATTTGACCCTCAATGGTACTAAGGGCCAAATGTTGATCCAGGCTCAACTGGAGAAAGGTCAAGATTCATCCCATGGAGCATCTTCTGGGATGGAATTTCCTCACTTCAACCACAAGAAATACCGCTTCCAATTGCCAAGGTAAACCTTACAAGAAGTGGATTTGATAGCTTTCAGAAATGTAGAGATAACTAAATTGGGTAGTCTCCTATCTCTTTGGACCTGGGCTTCAATAGCCATTAGCCAGGCTATTAAGCAGTGTGGTAAACTGGTCCTTGGGACAGTAGAAGTGGGAGTTCCCACAAAGAATCCACCAGAAGTATGATGAGGTCCGAGTAACACATCCACTTCTGACTTAATTCTGTTCAGCAGACTAGATAGGAGTTCCAGAGGAGGAATGACGTAGATCAGTTTGAACTGATCCCACGGATTGACCAGAGCGTCCAAGGGTTCGAGGAAACTTGGACCTGGAGACAAACTTGCTCAGTTTGTTGTTGAATCTAAAAGCTGGAAGACCCTCACATGGTGTTCCTCACTTGCGACAGAGGTCATGAAACAACTCTGGGTGAAGAGACTACTTCCCTGAGTCCAGATGTTGCCCACTGAGGAAGTCCATATGCCAATTTTATACACCTGGAATGTCCACAGTGGACAGAGCTGGAGCGCGAAGTTCCGCCCAACTCAGAATCTGCTCGTCCTCTCTAAGAGCTGCAAAATTTCTGGTGGTTGGCATAAGCCACTACCATAACATTATCTGATTAAATCCTGATGACCCTGCAGTCGAGAGGTCCAGCGTTGAAAGTATAGCTGAATGGTCCATTGCTCCAGTATGTTGATTGGAAGGTAAGCTTCCTCCAGCGTCTAGGTCCCTTGCACCAAGAGGGTGTCTTGGATTCCTCCCCAGCCTATCAGGCTGGTATCCTTCCTGAGAACCTTCTATGCTACTGGAAGGAAGGATTTCCACAACTACAGGTATGGGGTTGTAAGACACCAGCCCAGGGATAGCCTGGTCTTGGGGGGCAGGCACATTGGGTTATCCAGAGAGTGAGTGATCTTGTCCCATACAGCCAGAACACAGAGTAGCAATAGTCTGGAGTGGAAATGGGTATTCCTCGAAGAAAGCGACCATCAAGCCCAGAAAGTTCAAACAAAAGTGGAACAAATTTGTCCGAGACAAGGTACACTACTCACCATCCTCATCTGAGTGTGCAGAGGCAACAGTAGCTGAAGGAAAGTTAGAAACAGACTCAGGGGGAGATGGTGTGGAAGAACACTGTGTTATCAGTCCGCTAGCATGGCTGAATTTTTTACAATGAAGTCTGTCATGATGGCAGAAAATTCCTCCCTGAATAGTACTGATGAGGGGACCACACCTGAGGGATCTAAGGAAGACCGTGTAGAGTGTGTGGACTGAAGCAGAGAACTGTGATTTAGTAATTATCAGTGTCAGACCCTAAGCAAGGAGCACTGCAAACTACTTCTGATCTTTTAGTGGATTGTGGCCCACAGATCGCTTTCCTTGAGCTTATGATCCACATGCTGAGAGTCACTTTAAAGCAGCAACAAGAAGGACAAATCCTGAACTTTGCGAGGAGCCCGCTGGCCACAGAGATGTGACAGTTTTTAAAAAAAGTATTGCAGCCCCCTCTAAAGTGTCACAGCTTAATGTGTTGCAATTTATGGAAAATAGCCCAACCAGTGGCGTAACTAGTGACCTCAGGGCCCCATGCAAGAATCCATGAAGGCCCCCCACCCC